CGACATTATTAAACAATTGTTGAAATCGAGACTACTCAGTACTATCTTAATGTGAGTAGTTAGCCTACCCTATAGACGCAGCTCGGCTCAGGAAGAACGGAGTCTTCGATCTTGTGAATGGATATATCATATGCATGTCATGTATCGTAGCGTACCAACTTTTCCATATTAGAATGACAACGGCATATTGTTGCTCGCTATTAAGTGTTATGTGATCTGTTGAGACGTTGGGGGAATGTGACGTGTAAGAATACGGTACGCACTGAACCAGCCTGCTGAGTAAGAGTGATCAGAAATGGTGCTGAGCATCACTTCCATCTACAGAGATAAACTCCACACTTCAGCTCTACGAGAAACAATATTGAAGTCCTATGACCTTGATGGAAATTAAGTATAGACCAGGGGGATAGCCTCTAACAAACAACGGATTTTTTTATCAACGACGAAACAACGAAACAAACGCTTTGATCAGATGGAGGCTCTTTACGCGGGGGAAATGACAGAACCACCAGCCTCGAAAGTAATTTCCAAGGTGCTAACAGCGGCTGGGAATAATCTAGAAACATTGAAGATCATCAAGCGCCGTTTTTGGTTTGTTTGGAATTTGGGACTAAAGTCAAGTTCCGGACCGATAGGTTCGGTTGTTGAAGCTGGTATCAGAGATGACGATATTCACTGGGTATAATTCATCAGATATTGAGCGTCTCTGTATTCTTGTGACACGCTTCACATTGACGGGACGGATGAGTCCCTGCGACCCGGGAGAAACATTGAATGATTGTCTCGGCCTTAAAATCATGTACGCTGTTGTACAGGTATCCATATGTTTGGGGGGAAGAGAGAATTTCACAACATCCGAAGCCACAATCAGGGAAGATCCTTCCTTTGTTGTCTTCCGTCTTGGCGTCCTGTCAAGATGAACCATCAATTTTCTTGGTAAATGTTTTCTTTCTCGACTCATCGACGTATCCACATCCACGTTCAGGGAGAAAGCTTGGGAGGGAGATAGTCCTCCACTAGAAACTGGGTCTCTTGAAATTGGGGCTGAGATAGAGATCGGGGTGAAAAGCAAGAAAGGCATGACTTGGCAATGGAACTTCCTTGGAAAGATTCAGACATGAGGACTTCGTGACGTGATTTGCCAATAAAAAAGAAAACAATGAATACCGTTGGGGGGACGATGATGCAGGGCGGATGTAGGCTTGATGCATCCGAGACAAGACAAAAGATAAGACAAAAAAGCAAATAGAGTTGATAACATGCATTCTGTCAGTTGTGTAATTAATTGTGCATATGCACCTAAAAGGCGTTGGTAACGCTGACGATATTTTGTGGCTGTTGTCAACGGTGATGACTGACGTGGTTGATCCAGACACCAATAGGCATCACAGCATGTGGTTGATGCCATTCCAACTGCAATGTAAGCCTCAACCAGCTCTGTCTTGGCTTATTGTCTTGTCTTTCCCTAGGACAATTGATGCATGCGGCCCATTCTGTCCGGTTCTGGCCTGTTTTCCGTCAAAAACCCGCTGACTTTTGTCTCTCCTTTGAGCTTTGGGCACTAAACGCTCGCTTCTCAAGACAGCTCAGGCGAGTTTCAGACCGAAGGTTTTCACTGGCCGTAGCTAAGAGGACCCTGAATTTCCACTCAAGGTATTTAGTGGAGGCCGGGAATGGAGCTCACCCTCTCTGCCCCTTTGGTCACAGCTGAGTAGTATTGGTTTTGGAGCCTGCAATTCTTGATTTTGTCTGAAGAGTGATTCATCCTGACTTGATTTCTTCATCATGTCGCAATGCAGAGAGTGAGTGAGTGAGTTGTTTATTCCAGCTGATCTCTTGCAGGAGACTATTGGCAACTTGCCGAGCTGTATTGCAGATGTGTCTGGCCAATCCTAACAGCACCCGTCCCTCCCCTTTTGATTTGCCAAGCCATGATAATTAGCGAAGCTCATGGTCAGGAATAATTCGTGCAAGCCATCAACTTTGGCAGACAGACAATGCCCCATCTTTTATGACGCCCTTCTTTGTGCTAAGGAGTTCCCAATACCCTGGCTTAGCTTCATAGAGACCCCTGTCACAGGCCGACCCACCTTGGTCTCAGGCTGAACGCTAGAGCCTATTCGAGTTAAGGGGACCAGGTTCAGTTCGATCAGAGAAGGCTAGTGGACCAATCACGGCTGACCAATGTTCCAGAGACTTGGGTTCCTTGTCTTTCACAATGCCGTGCTCGTGCAGATGATCGCCCTTGTTCCCCTGAATTCTTTGTCTTTTGTCTTTGTTGATCGTGGTACCATATGCAGAATGAATGTCTCTGCCTTTTCTTTGTCTCGTTGTGTTTATCTTTAAGTTGTTGATCAACAGTTATCAAACCGAGACATGAAGATGCCGATCCTTACAAAGACGCTTGCGGTCTGTGCTATTCATTGGCGATGATCAAAAGGCGGGAAGCTTCGAGGAGCAGGCAATATTTCATAGCGCATGCTCAAACAGACCAATAGGCCAATACTACCCCCCAGATGCACAGAGCCCCCCTTGACGCCTCGTGCATGGTTTGGTTGGTCTCACTGGCGAACCGGAACGATATCGCAACTGGAAAGGCCAATATTCAAACCTGGCTGAGCTGGGCTGAACTGGACCTGTCACTTGACATCCATGGCTGAAATATTACCTGTCTCTTCCAATGGCAATGGCATTTCTTATTCCGAGTTGGCCTTAGATTGGCGAGGCCTTTGCCTTTTTAACTACGTAAGGCCTAATTAACGTGAAGAAAGGAAGGAGCATTATTTCCCCATCTTGGCCAGAATTGGGTCTCTCCCGCTCTTTCCGCAATCTCAAATCCAATATTCCTCCCCATCCAAAAAGTCTCACCTTCTTTTCTTCTTCGATCTAACATTCTGCATCTTTGGGCTCCCTTTTTTTACTTTTCCCCATTCATTCCTCGTCTAAGACTTCGACTGCGACTGAGACTGAGACCACCCAAAAGCAAACTAGCGAGAGCCCGTCTATTCACGACCTGCGTCCATCCGTATTCTCTTGTTAGTGGGACCATACTATCCAAATTGTCCGCGCACCTTTGCAGCATCGACCACTCCTAGGTCACGACTTTTACTCGAGCGTCGCAAGCAAACAAGCAAGCAAGCAGACAGGCAATCAGCTTCATTAGCCGCCCTTGGCTCTTCGTTCAAGCTTTGCCTTGCCTTTGTTGTGCTTCGCTGTGCCCGAAACCGTTGCATTGCTTCGTCTCATAGCCGAGTATCCTCGTCTTGCCTCGCTTTTGCGCTCCCTTTTGACGCCCTGCGCTTAAGCGCCCGTCCTGTGCCGCATTCCGTACCTTACTTACCCAGTTCTTGGTACACGTCAACATTCGTCGAGGGTTCCAAGACTCCATTGCGGCGCTTACTGCCTATCACCTTTCAGGGCTCCTCGTTAGGTCATTGGCTGTCAACCACCTACAACCAAATTCGCTGTAATTTGAGAGGCTCACATCCATCCAATCATTGACAGCCAGTATAGAGTCTCTAACACCACTTCGCGTCTGTCTGAACATGCGACGAACACCTCATGGTGTTTCATCAGCCTCCTATTATTGCTTAATCTCTAGCTGTCCGAGTTCCCGGCACCAAAGCCTATAGGCGCTGTCGTGGATCTTTACTGGTTTCCCAGATTAGTACCAATCTCATCATAATCCCACGGCGACCTGTGGTACGGGTGCCTACATATTAACTGTAGTAAGGACCCGTCACCTGTCGCCTGTCATGGATCCATCAACGACTCTCTTCACTTTCTTGTTGTGAGTTTGGGCCATTTCTTCTTTATTTTGTTATTTCCTTCCCGTTTGTTTGCTTGCTTGCTCCCTTACTTCGCCTCTCGCTGGTCGATTTTTGATCCACTACTACTGCGGATTGCCTTCCACGGAACCGTTGAGTCGGTTCACTATATCCATCCTCACAGCAATTGTTCTCTTCAGCAATTGGACCACTTTCACTCCGACTGCGTCAGCTTCATCTCTCAGCATTCCCTTTGTGTTTCAATTATCGAACGCTGTCATTCCATTCTCTACACCGGATCGGCACTCGTTGCCTAGAAGTGTCTTATTTGCCGTGGTATGCTTCAATTGTCTTATTCTTGTACCCTCGCATGAAAATCATCTGAATCTGGTTCTGCCCCCGGCCAGCCCCCCGGCCTGTTTTTCAAGACAGAGACGGACGCCGTGTTTAGGAAAAAACAAAAAGTTTGAGTCGCATGTTTTCTTTTGTATTGAGGGCGTGCGAAGTCGGAGCTGAAGTCAGCGTCGAACCTTTCTCAGCCAGCCTCTCTAGCTGCAGTGCTTGGTACTGCTAATATGCTGTATGCATCAAAATGGGGGAAACAGCTGGGTTTGATTGCAGATGGAAGTCTCTATCTGCAGCTACCTTGGGATCGATCCAAGGGTTCCCTTGTCTCCCCACGATTGCCAGCTCTGTCATTTCATATGGTCTAAGCCTATCGTACCAGTTTGTTTCTCAGCCGTTATCCCTTGGCCCCAAGGCGTGTGGCTGGCTGTAACGTACTGCAGTTTGGTGCAATTTCCCTGCCCTTTTTCTTTGCTTCTATTCCCCTTCCATGCCGTCTGCCGATGGCTTTTAACGACGGCCGCTGACAAGCATCCCCCAGCCAAACTCCCCCTTCGACACAGTCCGTGCAGCTTATTGGGTCGTGGGACAATTTTAGCCAATCTTACCCCATGCAACGAGACATCCGGCGGGGCCGTGATCAGTGGAGAGGTTGCTATTCTTTTCGTGACATTGTCTGCGACGACGTTTCCGTCTCGGCTTCTGCGACGTGCGCTGGCGTAGGCGCTGGAACAAGCTCAAGCTCAGGCTCAGGTACTGGCACAGCACCTTCGTATCCCAACAAGAGGCACGGTGGTCTTAAGATGGGTCATACCTATTATTACTACGTATGTTTCGGTATATGCCATCTTATTGCATTGCATTGCACATCACCTCATAACAAACCCATTCCTCTCCCTTGCCTTGAACTAGTGAACCCAACTACATACATCAACAGCCGTTTACCCAACCACCCAAACACATTTAATCAACATTGCCTCTCTCACTTATTTCACTTCTTCATTCACTCATTCATTCATTATTACTTAATCCAGTCATTCATTTATATTAACAATGGGTTTTCAGTATGAGCTAGATGGCTCGGTCGAGACACACGACCCTAGCCTCCCTTCAACTACAGCATGCCCATACCTACCTGGCCAAACTGTCAATACTTTAATCGTTCCTGTCGAGCAGGCTCTCCGGCAGCGAAGTGCTTCTCTCACCTCTATGCGTGCTACCGATCTCAAGACCATGAATCCCGAATCCAAGTACACTACACCTCGACCTGCACCTTCAGTACCAGCCAACCACATCCCCTACCGGGTTGGCTCATCTCCATCATTAAATCACAAGTCTTCGTCCCGATCATTGTCACCTGCCCCGGCGGCATGGAAGCGCTTGTTCGGTCGCAAGGTGAACTCTGAAGGCGAGCGTGGGCGATCTCCCATCCGCAACGACTTGTCTGGTACCGCTGAGGATATCGACGACCGTTGCACGACGCCATCGGAGGGTACTCGAACAAGAGATATCTCACCCGAATCCCTTCGACGCTTTCTATCTGATGATCTTCCTCCTCGCCCTAGTTCTAACCTCAGTGAAAGACCATCCCTAGTTATCCCTGAAGATGTTGTGGAGGACAATGACAACGATGACGATGATAACTTTGCTACTTCAGCAGCATCCGATGGACAGCCCTACGTCACCCGTCTCTCACCTCCTCCCTTCAAGCGATCTATTTCTTCTGAGCCAGTCAGGAGTGATGCCGCTAATCCAAACTCACTGCCTCTGATCCCTTCAAAACCATACAATAAGGACTTATTGGAGGTCAATGGCGTGCCTGCGTCGGCTGTGCTTCCATCTCGACCCAGGTTGGAGACTCTTCGGGCTCCCAACCCTCGAATCAACCCTGCTACAAGCTTCTTCTTGTCGCCAGCCACACCAAGCTTTCCCGAAGATGAAGGAACAAACTTCTTTGACCTTACCGATGATGAGGACGACGTTGTGTCGAGTAACAACAGCGACATCCTCGCATTTCAGCCTGTTCCGGGCATGGCTCCTACCACCGACTCTTTTGAGTGCTATAGTCTTCCAGAGTCTCAGGAACATGGCCCTAAGATTGTCGAGTCCCAGTCAGCCTACGCCAAGGTCAACTCTCCATCTCTTCTTTCTCGCGGCGACAGCGGAAACTTCCTTGGCGCGCCTATCGATACCGGCCTTGATGACTTTGCGGCCGAGTTGGGCTGGATGGTTGACGTTATTGGCTCAAAGGCCAACTAGACAGCCACAACAAATTCACACTCTATCCGACACGATACAAATTAATTTGGGTTTCAGCGCCCACGACACTCTACGATCAACATTGTTTCGACGGCGTTTAATACTGGTTTTCAAAAATTGGGTTCAACATTTGATGAACAAAAACACAGCGGGTTGCATTTGGCGTTTTAAAAGGAACAAGAGGGGATGGCGCAAGCATAGGCAGCTCAATGAGGTGTCAAACATACAACAATCCCCGAGGGGTAATAAGGAAAGGATCTAGGCGAATCGAAATAGGCGGTCGTGTAACAATGGAATTCTAAAGGAGTATGTGAGGGAAGGGTGGTATGGTTCATGAGACGGACGACACGGCAGTTATCGAAAGAAAAAACGAATCTTGGACCTAAGGCGAGGTTTATGGTTTGGACTGATTTGCTCTCATCTGCGTGCATGTAGATGACATAGCAATCGGCAAGTGGCACAATCTTGATAGATGAGATAAGACACAATTATAACCTACCTACAACACTGATTTAACCAGTTACACTCTTCTGTTAACGCGCCAAACGATGAATGATTTCAACCGTGCTTTTGTGTTCTCAAAAAGATTTTGTATTCATACATAGTGGTACATATTGAAGTCGCTGTCGTGTTATCATGCCAACTCCTGTGATTCAACAGCCCTGTATCTATCCAGAAGAAGTATTATATATCGTGGTCTATGCAATTCGTCTCGAATACTATTGAGACGTTTGAGCTGGTGCTGGGGGATTTCCTACGGTAGTTGATTGAGGGTTTGTTGGAGCCTGAGTTTTTGGCTCAGGAGCAGGAGTAGTAGTTGGCGCCACTGCCGTTGCGGCCGTTGTATTTGTGGCATTCGTAGGCTGCGTGACTGCCGGTGGCGCCATCTTGGGTTGTATCGTCTGATTAGGCTCAGGGTTTGGTGGTGCGGAAGCCCCTTGTTCGACCCCAGTCATCTTGTCCCCAGTAGTCGGGATGCCCGATGGAACATCAGGGGTTTTGGTCTGGGGGACCTGGGCTTGATCTGGGGCCTTGACAGCACCTTTGTCCTTGACGCCCTCATCAGATGAAGATTTCTTCTCAGGCCCTTTCTTGCCAGGGTTCAGGAAGCGTTCGGGGACGCCTCGTGCAGCATATGTTCCGCTACCAACCCAAGCACCAAGGATGTGACTCCATCGGTACTCGCCACGGGTAAGGCGTTGGATCTCTCGATACGCGTAGGCATTATAATAAGGAAGACCGGTACGCGGATCCCGATACCGAGCGGGATGATTTGTGATTACGCAAAGAGGCGCAGGAGAAGGTTCTGGCCATGGTTAGAGAACGTGACGTTTATCGAAGATCCATGTAAACTTACTGGAAAGCTTATTCATCTTGCGGCCAAAGATGATCTGCGTTTGAATGCTGCGATCCTTGAGGGCGTTGTCGTCAAAGTTTTGGAAGACGATGGCATTGCGGGCTCCGGTTGAAGGCTGAGGAGGTTGAGGTTGAGAGTCAGGGGGTTGAGCAACAACGGGAGTGTCGGGACTGGTAGATTTGGTCAGAAGAGCGGGCGTGATAGTCTTGGGTTGAATCTTTGTCATAGAAGATATGGATATAACTCCTGTTGAAGGATTTGATGGAGGGGGTGAAATAACTGATGGAATGTTATGAGGAGGAGCAGCTGCAGTGAGTGTTGGAGGCATGGCCCCTTGAGACGTATTTGGTGGTGCTAGGACATTGGATTTGGGACTGCCGAAGCCCATCATAGGCGGTGCATTTCCGTTGATACCAATACCTGGAGGAGGAGCAAGTATAGGCGCTGCCAGAACGCCAGATGGCTTTGAATCTGGTGGACGAGATAGTCCTGAGGGAGGAGCCACGAATGAATTTGTCGTTGATGCTGACCCAGCAGATGTAGGTGGAGGCAGGGGTGGTGCGGCGAGACCACTTGGTGGAGGATCCTGAGATCGAGGAGGGCTTGGAGCTGGCACGAAGGTCGATGGCGGAGGAGCTGGAGCAAGCAAACTACTGGGAGGTGTAGGCGGCGGTTGGGGTGGTGGTGGCATAGTCATTAGAGGAGGGACGTCTTCAGTTTTGGGAACTGCTGGAGGAGCACCGCTAGTCTCTGAAGTTGAAGGTGTATCTGTGGGTTTCGTGATATCTTCACCAGCTTTAGTAGGAGTAGCGGGTTTTGTATCTTTGGGATCGGAGGCTGCTGCAGGCTCTGTTGACGCTGTGCTTGGTGGTTTGTTCTGTGATGGCTGCGATTCCTCTTTGGCCTTGGCAACTTCGCCATTTTGCCCGTCCTCTTTCTTGTCCTCTGTTGAAGCAGCTTTCTCTTTCTCCTTGCCCTTTGCCTTCTCGCCTCTCTTCCTCTTCTCCTTGGCAGGCTCCTCAATCACCATATGCCTTCCCATCCATTCGCCAATCCCGCTCCAAAATGTAATAACGGGTCCCTTCAACGTTCTGTTATGAAGTGCTGCCAATTTCGCTCGACGTTCTTCCTCACGCTGTTTCTCAGCCTCCTCCCAGCGATTCAAACTCTTGCTGTTGCGCTTCTCAACAATGGCTGCTTCTCGTAATCGCTCCTCCTGTGTCATGGGTGGTTTTTTCATCGCCTCCAGCTTGGCAGCTTTCTTCTGCATCTGAGCGAGCTGCTTTATTCGGCGCGCCTCTCGCTCCACCATTTGCTGATGTAGCTGCTCCTTGGAGAGTCGAGTCGTTTGGCGGGAAGAGGCTCGTGTCGGTAGGTCTGCGGCAGACGGCAGCCATGAAGTGCGCTCAGATTTCTTCTTAGGTCGTGGCGCGGGCTTCGCAGGTGCAGGTGTTCTCGTCGTAGGATCGATGCGGACTTTCTTGCGGAATTTGGCAGGGATAGCTTCTTGCGCTTTTCGCTTGCGCTGAGCAGCGCGACGCTCCTTGGCCTGCTTTTCCAATTCCTTCTCGCCCTCGAGGTCATCATCATTATTGTCGTTCTCGTCTTCATCGTCTGAAGAGTCCATCTGGACATCCGAACCGTTCACTTCAGCATCGGAGAAACCCTGATCGTTCTCATCTTCGGCGAAAAGCAGTTCGAGATCTGAATCGGGTTCCTCGTTGGCGAGCATCGACTTCATCCGATTGCCGGCGGTCGAACGACGTTTTCGAGTTGTAGCCAGCCATTCTACCGTGTCTTCGTTGTTTGCCTGGCTATCGATGTCGTTATTGGGGCCAGTGCTCTTCGGAACTTCAGCGTCACTGTCGCTGTCGCTGTCGCTGAGGCTGGATAATGTGGAAGACAAGGGAGTCCCCATATCGGACGGTTTGGATTCCGTTTCCATCGCGAGTTATCGATTGTCGAAACGAAATCAGCATAAAGATATCACATTGCGTATTTTAGACGATATCCAAGGTGATATAATGGACCGTTGTTGTGTCGTGGCTTTTCGCCTGGCGGATTTAAGGCTAAAGATGCAAGGTTGAAACGCGTTTTTTGGTGGGGAGAAGACTCAACTTGGATGGAATTTTTAGGCTGCTGACATCACGACAGACGGTGTAATATGATAGGTGCATTCCAGTGACACAGGCTCGAGACGTATTATTCAACAAGCAAATGTGAAATATTTAATACAATTTATTCTAAGATTTAATATATTTCATTTATCTAATTGTGCGAGCCTCATATGTAGATCGCATGTGTCCAAAACGGTAGCCCGGCTATTCGTACCTAATTAAACGCCGTGTCCTCCAGTATACCAAACAAAAACTCCATCCTCATGATTTACATGAGTGTTATCTAAAATGCTAAATTGTTCATTACTACCCACCGAGCAGGTGCCTCTAAATCGCAGCCAAGTGCCCGGACAACGGAAGAGAGAGAAAAACAATATTCAAACCGCTATAACAAGGCAGAGCTGCATGTCGCTCCGAACAGTGATCGATTTACGAGATACCAGAGTTGGCCTGGGCGTTGCTGATGGAAATGGACCTCTCAGTGCCGGTTCCTACATCTCATCTGGGGCAAATTCCATGTCTTCAACGGCCCACTCCTTGCACAACCCAAACCAGTTACGGGCGTGACATCTCTGACTTTCTGGCACGCTCGTGCTAGGGACATCCTCTGTTGTACCTGTAGGCGCCGCCGTAACAGGCACGTTCGTAACTTGGCCAGGTTCAGCGGTTGTTGTGGCCTCAACTTCGTCGCGGCAGCCCCAGAACCTTCCGGGAGTATGGCAAGTCGTCGTAGGAGTAGCCTCTATGGTTGTTGTAGTGCTGCTCTCGGTCGTCGTCTTATCCTTGCACCCAAACCAGCCAGGAGTCTTGCAGGTAGACGTAGAAGTCGACGTGGTCGAGGTTGTGGTCGAGGCCGGTGTGGTCTTGTCAAGGCAACCCCACCAGCCAGGCGTCTCGCAAGTCGAGGTGCGGGTCCGAGTACGGGTGGTCATGGAAGTCGAGGTTGGCGATGATGTTGTGGTAGTTTCGGTGCCATTACTTTCGTACATCTTCCACTGAGCGCAGTCCCTACATTCAGGAGTTCGTCTGCACTCGGGAACACCATCGTACTTCTTGATGACATCGTCAATGACAGAACGGATCCGATGTGTACCGATTCCGACTCTCCATCCCTTATCGGCGACAACGTCGTACACACATTCATAGCCAGCATGACAGGCGCTTTCCATAGCATAGCCACCATAGGTGCAAGAAGCTGTTGCGCCATTGCATGTTCCGATGTAAACAGGGTCTGCGGTGTGGCCGAAATGGAATGTGCCTGTGTTCTCACGCATTTGGGGATAGTCGGCACTAGCACCAGGGGGAACGGGCAGTCCTAGTCTGGAAGCTGGAAGAGCCTCTGGGACAGCTTCAAATGTGACGACGGGAAGACCATACGTCATACCCAGCATCGAGGTGACGGCGCCACCAAGTGAGTGACCTGTAAGCCAGACTTGGGCATCAGGATAGAGTTCTGTGACATTCGAGTATAGCTCGCGGGCAGCGCCATAGTAACGATTCTCTTCCCTTAGAGCCTGGACAACACAAGTGTTGTTGCATGAATACGTGCCCGTGGCACAATCACAAACTTGATGCCAAGTCCACTGACCTTGTTGGGCACAGCAGCAGCTGAAGAAGAGGTTGTCGTTGACCTTGTCATTAGTTGTGGTGCCTTCTCCATCAAAAACAGCCATCGATGTGCCCTTCAATCCGATGACAATAGTCGAGTTTGTATCGTCAACAAAAATGTGGCCGCGAAGGCCATCAGACTCCCATCCGAAATCGGCGCTGCGGTTCCATCTTTCTCCAACATCTTCCCAATCGGTTTCTGTTTCATCTTTGACATACGCATTGGCCGTCATAATAGCCAAGGTCAAAACAGTGTCCTTATCTTTGACATCGGGCG